TATAGTAGAACTAATATAAGAGATAATCTTTTAACACTTTATAATATAATATTTATAAATATACTTATCCGCGATATTCTTAATAAAATCTATATCTATTATTATAGCGAAGAGTTTATTTAAATAATTTATATAAATATATTAAAGTTAATAAATTAGATTTAAAGAAATACTATATATTATTAAAATATTATTTAAATTATTTTAAAGATCGAGAAAGAATAAATCTCGATTATAAGTATTTATTAATTTTAGATTATCTTTAATTAAAGTATAATTAATCTTATAAAAGTTAATTATAATATTAATATCTAAGAGTTTATTAATAGAAAGAAGATTAATACTTATATCGAGTATATATAAGATATTAAATAGAATAATATTAATATATTTATCTTAAATAAAGTAATCTAAATTAATAATATTATAATTAAGAAATTAAATTTAATTACTCTTAATATCGCGAATAGAATAAGAGTAAATCTTTTTATAGATAATAAATATTAAATAATTAATAAAGAAATAGTAAGAGTAATTAAAGTCTATTACTATATAAGAATATAAATTAGCGAAATTAGCTATTATTAAATTATACTTTAAATTAAAATTAAAAATTATTAAATTAATAACTTTCTTATTATTAATTATATTAAAAATATTAAAATTATTAAAATTAGAATCTATATAATATATAATTAAATTTAATTCTTTTAAAAAGATATAGTTAATATTAAGATATTTATTTTTCTTTAAAGTAGAGATATTAAAGAGTATCTCTTTAATACGCTTACGCTTAATATTAAAGCTCTTTTCTATATTATTAAAATTAATTATAATAATTTAAGCCTTCTTCTTCTTTTTCTTATTTAATATAAACTTTTTAAATTTTAAATAAGAGAATTTAATTTAATATTTAATAAGAGAATATTTAAATTTATATTTAACGATCTTATATAGAGAGTAAATTTCGCGATTAGTTTTTAAATTATCGATTTTATAATATCTTGCAAATTATTTATCTTTATTTTTACTATTATTATTACGAATAGTGTATATAATAATATTATTATCTTTAAATAATAATAGATAAATCTCTTTATTTATTGCGATATAAATAATTTTATTAAATTTAATAGCTTTATTATTATATAGCTTATAAATCTAAATATAAATTATTATAAAAATATTAAAAGAGTTTTTAAGTTCTATAAGAAAGAGCTAAATTAGAAAAAACTTTAATAAAATAAATAATTTATATAGATTAATAATTTTAATAATAATTTTATAAAAGTTCTTTTTATATTAATAAATATCTCTTTTAAAAATAAGAGTAATATCGAGTAATTAGCGAATTAGCTTTATATAAAGTTTAAAATTTTTAGATTTATAATATTTAGCGATAATATTTAATATTATTTAAAGATCTTTATTATTATAATTAATTTCGATAAATTAATAATTATTATATTTAAGATATTAAAAAATAGTTATATAAGTTTTAAGCTTAATAGTTTTAATAAAGAATAAAAGATTATTAAGTACTAATTAGTTTTTAATATCTTATCTTTATCTAATATATTTTATATTAAATTCTAGAATAGCGATAGAGATTAAAAAGAAATTACTTCTATTAAATTAAAATTAATTAAAAATATTATCTATAAAGCGCTATAACTAATTATTTAGATTTATTATTATTAAAAGATAATCTAAATAATAATATATAGAATATTAATAGAGAGAGCGATAGCGGTAATAATAATAGTAATTTAGTTATTATTTTAGATGAGATAATAGAATTAGAGAAAGAAGATTTTAAAGATAACTTTAAAATAGATAAAATAGGCTTTTTAGTATAAAGACTAAATAACTTAATATTACTTATAGAGCTAAGAGTATCTTCGTTAATATTAAATTCGAGATTAATAAAATTATTATCTAATAAAATAATAAGAATAAAATAAATACTCTAATTATTATTAGAGTTTTTAAAAATCTTATTAATATTAGCTAACTATCGCCTTTAGACTTTAAATTTTTATATAAGAAATAGAAAATATTTATATATAGAGTTACGATAGATATAGATAATCTAATTAAAATAAAAAATATTTAATAATAAAAATAATTTATAAATATAGACTAGTTTTTAATAAGATTATATAAAATATAGTTATTATAGATATACGAATCTCCTTCTTAAAAGAAGATTAATATCTTTTTTATATTACTTATTTAGAGATTTAAACTTAAAATATCTATATCGCTAGCTATTATTATAAGACTTCGAAGATTATTCTAACTTTATAATTATAATAATAGAATATAAATAATTATAAAAAAAGAATTCGATAATAAAGCTCTAATCTTTTTTTTAAAGGGCTTTTAGAGATTTAGAAGCTAATATTAATAAAATATCTTTATTATTTTAATCTTAATAGATTTATAAATATATTAAAAGATAGTAATATTAGCTTTAGAATATTTTAAATTATAATTAGATTATTAATATTAATATCTAATTACTTTTAATTAATAACTATTAATTTAATAATTAATATATAATTTTAAAATTAATATTAATATAGAATAATTTTACTTTTAATAAAATTAAATATTCTAATTTAGTAAAAATTAATAAGATTTAGAGATCTTAGCGATATAACTCGATTATATAATAATATAATTATATACTTAATATATTTAGCGAGTTCGATATTTCGACTAAAGGCGGTATATTTTAACTTACTTAAGATAAAAATAAAAGCGATTCTTAGTCTTTTATATTATTAATAAATTATATTTATTTAGATCTATAACTATTTTAAGAGAAAAAAAAAATTTTATTAAGAAGATTAAAAGAATATCTCTATAGCTATTACTATTTTTATATAATAGACTTTAAATATTATAAGATAAGATACTTAGTTATTAATTATAGAGTTACTATAGAGAAAAGAGCGACTAGATATAAACACGCTAAGGCGTATTACGTAACTATATTACGTGACCGCTAAGAGTCATATAACCCGAATTTTAATAAACTCTATTCGACGTACGTTATATAGAACGTGAAATCTGAATATATTCGGTGTATAGTTCTTATTATACAAATCGTATTATTATCGCTAATAGTTTATCTATTTTCTATTAATAGTAAATTTTCATATATAGTAGCTTTCGTAAGGTATTAAATTTACTCGATAGCTCTAATTAAAAAAATGATTATAAATTTAATTTATAGGCCTTTACTCGTAGCTTTATAATTAATTAATAAAGAGTTATATATATAAGTACATAATACTTTTATAATACTAGATAGATATTTAAAGAATTAAAATATTTATTTTAATAGAAAGTTTATAAATAGTCGAGTAAACCTCGATATTTAGACTTCTAATATTCTCTAATTAATATAAAAAAAAAGATAGAGCTAAATTAGAAAATCTTAAATTTATATATATACCTTAGCTAATTATAAATTCGAGATTATTATATCTTTTAGCTAGACTATCTAAGTTAGCTCGATAGCTCTTTTAAGACTTCTTATTAAAAAAAAATTTTATAAATAGAATAACTTTTTTCTTTTCTATTAGAATTTTAAGATAATTTTTTTAAATTATAGAGCGAAGATTACACTTTTTAATAAAATTTAAATTATAAAATTTAATCTCATAATTATTAAAGGATAGAAACCTTAAATATTACTTATTTAAATTCGCTTATTAAATTTATCGATAGTCTTAATTTAAAAATAGATATATATTATTTAATTTTAGAATAATGTTTTTATTTTCTATTAAAAAATTTAATTCTTTTTTTAAATTATAGAATATAATATAGACTTTTAGATAAAAAAAGAACTATTAAATTTAGTTCTATAAATATTTAAAGATAAAGAATTTAAATATCGCTTATTAAAGTTCGCTCGATAGCCCTAATTAAAAAAGAGAATATTTATTTAATTTTAAAATAACTTTTTTATTTTCTATTAAAATTTTAAAATATTTCTTTTAAATTATAGAATGTAATTTTTACTTTTAAATAAAAAAAGAATTATAGAATTTAATCTTTTTTTAAAATAAAGAATTTAAATATCGCTTATTAAAAACTTATTTACTCTATTAAGAATATTCTTTAATATAAACTTAAATAATCGAGTAATAATAATTTTACTAAACTTCGAAATAAATTCGCTTCGTTCTCGATTCGAATCTATAAATCTCTCTCGCTAAAAAATCGTAAAATCGTAAAAATAATAAAATTATAAAATTAATAAAATTAATAAAATTCTATAAATTATAGAAATAAAAATAAAAGAAAATAATAAGTATAAATTATAATAGATATTAAAATTAATTTCTTATTAATTAAATTTAAATTAATTTAAAGTTAATTAACTTTATATAAACTTATTATTATTATAACTTTTCTTTTTTCTATTAAATTTTTTTAATTTTTTCTTAAATTATAGAATATAACTTTTACTTTTAAATAATTTAAAAATTATTAAATTCGATTTTATAGTTCTAAGTAAATTTTAAATTAAAGTATTTTTACTCTTCGAAAATCGAATTTAATCTCGAAATTAGATTTAAAAATTAATTACTTATATATAATAGAATAAGATAGAGCTAAGTTAAAAAATCTTAAATTTATATATACAGTTAATTATAAATTCGAGTTCGCTACGCTTTTTAATTAGATATTGCGAATAAATAAATTAACGTTCGTAACTATTAAAATCTCTTTCTCTACTTTTAATTATTTAATAACTTTACTATTTTCTATTAAAAAAAATTATAGACCGCGATTTACGCTTTTCGAATATGTAAAAATCTTAAAATTTGATATCATAATTCTTTAAAAGTAACGAATTCAAATATCGCTTATTAAAGATCGCTTATTAAATTTACTCGACAGCTCTAATTAAAAAAATAGGTTATGAATTTAATTTATAGGCCTACTCGTATATACTAATATTTTTAAATATTAAAAGTTTAAAAATATTTAAATCTATAAATATAAGTAATAGTCATAATATAATAATTATCAGATAGAGCTTAAACTTACAAGTGTATAAGCTGACAAAGTGCATGCAGGGTTTGGTGGTGCGGTATGCGGCGCTCTTGTTCTACTCGCTCACCCAAAGCCCCTTGAAGACCTCCAACCCCTCATCCCACCAGCAGAAAAATGGTTGGAACCCCACCTCCCGCCCTCGATGATGTTGCGCATGTTTCCGCGCCCCAGCACCCCACCCCCGCGGTAGCACTTTGTCGTAGCTCCATTCCAGATCCATGCCCGAATGTACGTCGACTAGCAAGTAAACAAATAGTGGCACGAATGCAGTCCGCGTTAATACATGGGCCCCGATGACGTTCAGCGCGAAATTGGCCAGGAGTATCAACGCTAACCGCTCAGCCACGGAAAGCTGGTTCGTGACCTGTGGGTGCATTTCGCCATGAGTGTGGTGCGGCCGGTGGATGGAGGCGAGGCCAGGGATCCGGTGGAAGGCAATGTGGATGAAGAAGAAGAGCGCGTCGTAGAGGAAGAATGACGCCACCAGTTCGAAAACAAGACGACGGCTGCTTGGGGGATTTACGGGGATGGCGCGCCACAGCTGGAGTGGGGAGGAGAGAGAGAAATTGTGCAGTGTGGGCCGCAGGAAGGAGGAGCTGATATTCCGGTCTGTCACTAGTGGGCAATAGCCCCCTGTTTGCCTGATGGCGGCCGCAGGGACTCCGGCGTACTTCTTAATAAGTGTGAAGTCCAATGTCAACAGTGGGGCGGCGTAGGTTGCTATTTCACCCATGCGGCGCGAGGGGCGGCGCATGCGTGGCCGCTTGGGAGGGTTACGGGCGTCGAACTCGGCGCTTTGAGGGCCGCGGACGTCGATGCGCAAATGCGGGTTGTGGACGAATTTGACGGTGTACATGACTTCGATGAGCAGGTAAAAGAAGATGGTTTCCAGTGTCTCGAAGCCGGAGAAGCGGTAAAAGGCGGATTGCGAGAGGAAGTTGTAAAGAGTCGAGAGGAATGGGGAGTGTAGAGAAGGAAGAAGTATTGCTGTCGCAAACGCGGTTCCTAGGACAAGACGGGGGAGGAATACGGATGTGCGAGGGTCTGGAGGCATGGTCTGATTGGCAGGAAGTAGGCGCAGTCAATTTCAAGAAGTCACAATGGCGGTACCTGGGCTGGCACTGGATTAGAATGAGGGGGGAGGAGGAATGATGCTACGACGAGGATGGAGATCCAGTACCATTAGCCGAGGATAGAAGTGTTTGGGTTCAACCGTATCGGAGCTGCTACTCGACGGTGACGACATCAAAGCTATCAGTAGTAACGTACAGCTAATTACAGTGGTGTGTCACTGCCCGCGTACTTTCGCTTCCTGCCGAATGTCGATGAATTCTTTTGCATCGACTTAGACGATGCTTAACGCGGGGTCAGCGGGGTCGGAAATAGGCGAGCCCGGTGTTGCCAAACACCGGTACACCTAGTACGAGTAGAGTAAGTGTATGTTCCACTCTGCTGTCACAAATAACAGCATAGATGAAGAACCATGATCCGAAGCAGGTGGCATTAGGATATTCTATAAGAAGTCTTGAATTAGTCCTTTAGCAATTTCTATATCCCTTGTTCCTTGAACGTTGCTCTTATAGCTAGAATTTCGACTATGACAGTACTAACACTTATGACATTCCCCCACCTCACACCACCACTGCTCCCCTTTCCAGTCGAAATCCACGCATGGACACCTCCAGCGGGCCTCTCGCCCTAGCCTCCCAACTAACCTTAGTCGGGTCCCTGACCGTCTACCCTCTCCTCTTCTTCCTCATCACGCCTCGCACCGCCACGCCTTCTCGCTTCGACAAGTCTCGCGAGGCCATTTCCGCCTTCCACTGCACTCTCGTCACGTGTCTATCAACATACGAACTCTGCAGGAGGCGGGATGACTGGTATCCTCGTCCATCTTCTGCTCGCCCCCCCATTCAACTGGAAGATACTCAGCCTGATGCTGGACAAGGCGGTGCGTACGACGGCGCAAAGCTAAGAATCATTCAAGCGCGCTCCACTCTTGGCAACAGCATCACTGCGCTCGAGACAGGGTATCTTTTACAAGATGCTGTAATCTTAGTTCTGGCTGCGTGGTTGCGAAGACAGCGAACGGGCGGGAGCACGAAGGCCGTGTTTGACGGTATCAGGTGGCGCGTGCTAGCCTGGCACCATGTTGGGCTTGCAAGCGCTTTGGGCCTGCTGCAATGGTATATCGTTCGCGGGAGCGAGAAAGGTATCTTGGTAATTACTATGCTCATGATGATGAATGCTTCGTGAGTTGCCGCTTCTTTTTGTCGGCTGCCTAGGATGAGGGCTAAAAGGAGTTGGATGTCTAAGGAGCGCACGCTAATCTAGAATCTTGAAATACCAGAACGCCGGTTGGGACGTTACACTGGTATCTCTATAACTTCCGGCGCTCATGGCGGCTTACCATTCTGGCGGTGAACACTACGTATCTAGCGACGTATGGTCTTTGTCGAGTTTATCTTGTTTACTGGATTTTACACGTCTTTGGTTTTCACACAGGGCACTCGGCAATAGAAACATTCAGAAGACTACGCTTACCCTGTCAAATGGGTACAGGCGCAATAGGAATTACAAACACTATTTGGCTGATTTTGAGTCTGAGGCAATTCAAAAGACGATACCTGACTGGGGAGTCCTGGAAGAAAGGTCTATGAAACACTCTTGAGCGTCAAGTACAAATCGTGATAGCCTACCAGCCACAAGAGCATCACTCAGAACCTTGGGGTTCCCGGTGCACGCTACAGCCTATCTGACCTAGCCACGACCACGATGTACAAGAATGCGTATGGCCTCCTTTGGCCTCTGACATGGTAATTGCTTCAAGTCTCTCGCAAAGGCATCTACACCAACGCCGCTGTCCCAACCCAACCAGCCTCTAACACCCTCAGCAGCAACGGAGCCCTCAAGCCTGATATCAGCATCTACAATCTTCGTCGCAACAGTGCTGATTATATGTCTAATCACGCCTCTTCCAAGACACACTTTTGGTCCGGATCCGCCAAACGCAAAGTTGTCCCTGGTCTCGTTGGCTGAGATAAATCTCTCCGGAAGAAATGTATCCGCCAGCTCGTACGCTGCCGGATCTCGCCCCGCGCTCACAAAATAGAGCCATACGTCCCAACCAGCAGGAACCAGTATAGGAGGTTGGCCCTCAGGGGCTGCAAGAATGACATCCTGCTGCGCTCGACGCATGATACCGACAACAGGCGGGCTGAGTCTTTCGGTCTCTAACAAGATGCTGCTCAAAAGGATTTGGCCGTTTTGGGAGCCTTCTTTTCGAACGCGTGACGCCAACGTGGGCTCGCATGGCAGCAGAAAAAGATTGAGCAAGCTCGCGGTCAAGAGAGACGCCAGCGCTTTGACTGCGATAGAGCTTGTGAATAATATCGCGTTGGACGCTAGTTCATCCTCATCAATCTTACCTTTCTGCAGGAAGGGACAGCCCTTGTCTTGTTGAGAGATATGATCTTTCAGTAGCTTTTGAAGTTCGCGCCGCGCCTCTATAGCTTTGGAGCGTGGCGAGCGCCAGAATGGGGTGTGTATGGACACGGGAAATAGAGAAAATTGGCCCCGCAGGAGCTTCTCTTGCAGGGATTCCACCAGGGAGTACTTCTTGTCCGTCAAGCGCAGCTGCAGAAATATACATAGGAGCACTCGCCATGACAGATCCTTCATGCTCTCGTAAAGGTCGATTGTGCTTTCTGATGGCCAGCTTTTGATATGATCGTCTACAATCTCTTGCACCTCTATGGATGTCTCTGAGGGGATGGATGACAGTTGTTCGTCCCACGCTTTCCGCTTCGCAGCATGGTCCGGTGAATCTAATAGGAGTATGTTGGGAGGGGGGAAGAAGTCTGACATTAATTCATGGTATGCAGGTCGGATTGCAAACGTGTTGGGCCCGATCATCTCCCCCATTGTAATAGCCGTCACTGTCTTCTGTGGCTCTCCGTTCCCAACCCGCAGGATATCTTCGCAGAGGCGATGAGAAGAGACGACGGCTACGTTACGGTTGAGGATTCTTGCACGAACCACGGTAGGGATTTGGGAGGCCGTCTCCTCTTTCCCGGCTGCGTTTGATGAATGTAGAGCTGCTGTATTTCGTGCGCGAGTTGAGATGAAGGACTCAGGCGAGGAATGAAACGAGAGGCTTTGAGAGAGGGCGGAAATAAGGGAAGAATCGCCCTGGGGAAGTCGCGGGAGCATGTTTTCTGGCATTACTGGAACGAATGAGTCTTGTAGTGAAGTCTCGTCGGGTGGGGGAGACGACAGGAAATCGATTCCTGCGTTAAGCCCATATTTTGCCGTTACTCAAACGGGAGATCCAGAGGCGATACGAAGGTTGGGCCAATTACTGTTAGGGTGGTGGCACCAGTGGTATTGTTGTTGTTGATATCTCAAGGCGATCTGGACTCTGGAAAAATATGCCAATGTACTCGTTTCCACCCCCATTTGCACGTTACCCCCATTTGCGATGTCGATTAGAATAGCAGACGCTACTGCGGGACTACTGCAAGCCACTTACGCAGTCATCTCCACTAACCCCTATATAGAATAGAAGATAAATAATAAAGACGCGCTTATGCCTCGCTTTTATACTTTTATTCTATATTTCTTTTATATTATTATCGCTTTCTATTATCTTCTAATATTATTAATTTTATCTCTACTCTTTATAATCTAAATTATCTAATATATAATCGAGATTATATCGCGTTTTCTTAATAATCTTCTAAATATTAAGATAATTTCTAATATTTATTTAAATCTTTTTTATAAATAAGATTATCGTAATAAATAATTTTATTATAATTTTAAACGAGTTAAAAGAGCTAAATAATAAGATCTATAATAATTATAAGTTCTTTTATAAATATTAATTATCGTATTATAATATTTAAACTTAATATTAGCTTTTTAAAACGCTAAAAGAAAAAGATTTTAATCGCTAAGCGTTTATATATAAAAACTTAGACTTTAAACTCTATAAAAATATTATCTTAAAATACTATAAGAGAAATATCGATAATAAGATTAAAGTATTAGCGACGTATTAACTTAATATAAAAAAAACTCTAGATATTATTTATTTTAAATATTATAATTTAAAAGAGTTAATAAAATATCTTTCTTTAGCTAAAATCGATTAAGTTATAAAGTAATAGATTACTAAACTTAAGATTATTATTAATTTACTACGATTTATAAATATAGCGAATTTTTAAAAGAAGATATAAATTAAGTATAGAATAATAAAAGAAGTAAAGAATTCTTTAGAGAGAGGGTTTTTATAATTATAGATATAGAAACGACGATAGCGACGTTAATTAATAAATTATATAATCTTAAATATATCTAATTAAGTAACAGCGAATTACTAGAAGATTAGACGATTGTTAATACGATATTTATCTGATACGCGAGTGTCGATTAGAATAGTAGACGCTATTATGAGACTACTATAAGTCACTTACGTAATTATCTTTACTAACTTCTATATAAAATAGAAGATAAATAATAAAGACACGCTTATGCCTCGCTCTTATACTTTTATTTTATATTTCTTTCATATTATTATTACTTTCTACTATCTTCTATTATTATTAACTTTATCTTTATTCTTTATAACTTAAATTATCTAATATATAGTCGAAATTATATCGCATTTTCTTAATAACTCTTTAAATATCGAGATAATTTTTAATACTCATTTAAGTTCTTCTTATAAATAAGATTATTATAATAAATAATCTTATTATAATCTTAAATAAGTTAAAAAAATTAAATAATAAAACTTATTACGATTATAAGTTTTTTTATAAATATTAATTATTATATTACGATATTTAAACTTAATATTAACTCTTTAAAATATTAAAAGAAAAGAATTTTAATCGCTAAACGTTTATATATAAGAACTTAAGCTTTAAACTCTATAAGAATATTATTTTAAAATATTATAAGAGAAGTATTAATAATAAGATTAAGGCGTTAATAACGCGTTAACTTAATATAAAAGAGACTCTAAATATTATTTATTTTAAATAT